GGACTACGTGTCTCCATGAGTGAAAAAATAAAAAATATAAAATTTCTCGATATCGATGGAGTCTGGGTCTCTTCTTTTCCTCAACAGTTGTTGAGTGCGAGGAGTTGCGCCAGTCGGGATATCGTAACTGAAGCCACTCCAAAGAGAACCAACCTTATCGGAACTTTTTAAAAGTTTGAAGTGATACTCAAGCTGCTATTAAGTTTCCCGGTTGTTCTTGGCACCGTGATATTACATTCGTACCGAGGCTTTCGTAATCCCCTTCGATTTTTGGCTTGTTTTTGATGTCGGCTGAGGACTTTTTGTCTCGCGCGGGAGATATTAATATTTTATACATGAAAGTGATTCTCCAACTCCCATCTCGCGAGGGATAATTAATTTTCTTTGTATCCTCCACGCGCAGCCCAAAATCTGTGCAATATATTCATCATTTTTTGCTCCCTCATCGGCCTGTTATTAAAAAGCGGATACTCAACTGAGCCTCTCTCTGCCTGCTTTATTACATTTTCGTTGTCTGATCCTCTGTCCGCGAGTCGAGAATTTTTATATCCGTCAATTTGATGGCGTTCTGTTGCGCACGCTTGTCTACACTCAATAAAAAAGAAGATTATTAATCTGTAGGGTAGGACAAGACCGTACAAGAAAATGTGAGTCCTCTCTTTCTGCGTGGGATTCTCGTTTTAACATAAATCCTGAGAAAGGATATGATAATACGAAGGTATTGAGGATAGCCACGGTGCGATGTAACGTCAGTACAGATGGAATTCAGCTTGAAGGTAAAGCAGTTATAGGTTCAACAGAAGTTAAAAGTGAGAAATTTACTCCAGCAGTATTAATTTCAAATTTTTTTAAAAAAATGTGATCGCATGACGCATGGAAGACACCTAAGTAGCAATGATCGCGATAAGTTGCGATTTCATTGAAAAATGTATCGCATTTTTATCGACATCGATTTATTGCAATATTATTGGATGAAAATTGCGATAAATTACGATTTTATTGCATGAATTTGCAGTAAAATCGCAATTTAATCGACGGTGATTAATTGCAATATTATAATCGAACAAAAAATCGTGATATGAATTGAGATACAATTTCGATTTTATCGAATGCGATCTTATAGAGATTAAATTTCGATTAGATAAAAGATAATCGCTCAGATGTTGATGTCAATGATCCTAGCAAATTTTTCGCCAAAAAATCGTAAAATAATCGCAACTCAATTTCGGGTATCGCGATTATTTCGTCGAACAATGCTAATTTGGGGACAGTATGTCAGGCGGACTTCTTCGCGAAAACCCGCCTTCTATACGATGAGTATGCAATATGCCAACACAATTAAACTGAACTGGAAATTGTTGAACACGCACACTTGAATGGACGCTCCTTATCACGAGTTTTAACACAAAAAATAGCCTCCAGGAAGTGCAATTCAATTCATGAGAGGTAAGAGAGATCTTCAACATTATTTCAAAGATAAAAAATGTAAAAAAACAACATATTTAACGTTTGCTTTTTGGGAAGATCAAAGGGGAAAAGAGGGGGCGGAGTGAAATAATATGGTGGAGCTCGGTCACCCTCCTCTTCAAGCCAACAAGCGTTGCAAAGCATTAGCGAGCACTTTTCTTTCGTAATGAAAAATAAATAAATGAATGGAATCGCACTAAGAGATTTATTCGTTTGTTTAAGTTACGGAAAAACATTGCAAAAAAATGTGAGTTATGAGGTGGAGCTCCTAGAATTTAATAAAAACTAAAGCGGAGAGATATGTCGGGAGAACCAGGGAGGGCGGGCGGTGGCGAACAGTCGGGAGGGAAGGGTGTGCTCCTGGCTTGAGGGAAATAAAAACGTCACAATGTATAGCTTCCACTCCTCAACGGGAAAGTTATTTATGAATCTTAATGGTGGAGCCCCGAACACGTTCCGAAATTACACAAATCCGCTTAAAATTGCTCATTTTGACTCGCAATGCATTCTTGGCTTTTGACTTTAATTCCTGTGACAGCACGATTTTCTTCCCCTGAATAAATATCTTCAGACTTAAAAGCGATTTTTCCAGAATGCGCAACAATGTTCGCATCGCAATTGAAACGAGTGCAATTATGTAATGAGCAGTTTGAGTCGAGGAGCCGTGTGCCTTCCAATCTAAGGTCTTTGATTGAATAGTGAAGAAATAAATTTATCAAAATACAAAATTAAACCAGCTCTGTTCCAAAATCACACAAATCCGCTTATAATTGTTCATTTTGACTAATAAGAAATTGTGCAACCCCTGCATTCTTGCAACGACATAATTTTCTTTCGCTGAAAAAATTCCAACTTTCAAGAGGGTAGTCCCAACTTTTAAAAGCCGCATCAATGTTAGCACCATGAAAGAGACAAGTGCAACATTGCCTCCCACAGGCAATTTTTGCAAATCGGCAATACCTGGTTGCTTCCATTACATTCACATAAAATATCAATTTTAGGTGAAGCAAGCGGCTTCACCAGTGGCGTGGCGTGAATTTCGACACGTCGATTGTTATGCCATTCAAACCTATGGTGAAGAATCGATTATAAAGGTGTTCGCTGCGAACACCCTGTTTATCGATTTCTTTTCCATAGGTTTAAATGACATGACAATCGATATATCCGACATTTCCTTTTGGGGTGTGATATAACTCCCCTCACATACTTTACACACAGAGAAAGTTAAAATGCGTAAAGCTATTTTGAATTGGATATTAAAATTGCAATTCAGTCACTTAATTTTACCTACACCGTCGACAAAATTTCTTTGACATAGCAATTAAATGTAATGACACCGTGTTGGGAGTTATAAGTTCAAAAAATTGAAGAAAAAAATACACGGTACAAAGAAACGGCATAACGGCGTAACGGTACAAAGAAAAAAGCACTGGGTTCTTAGAAGATATGGGCATTTCCAAATAATTGTGGTAGTATATAAATTGGTTACAAATAAACGTTGAATTCGCTAGTATATTATGCATTACAAAATTGCGTACGAGCATTCCGACTCTCCTCGGATACAATTACCCATTAGGTTACAGACTCAAATGTTGCGGTGTTACTACAATTAATTAGACATGTTGATAACATCTCACAAATCGGCGTAGTATCACAATTTTAGGGGAACAGCCCTCACACTTTTTTCCGCGTACGATACTAGCGGTGCATCGATCAAAACTTGAGTGTGCAAAAAACAAGCGACTTAAACCAAAGCCATACTGCCGTGCTAAGGAAGAACGCCGTATGAACATTCGAGAGTTGCCAAGCCGATAGAATATTTATTTTTGAGCAAAGTTATAAATATTTTTCCTTGTAATTTTCGGGAACTTTAGGTAAAATTGCGAACAACATTATCTGAAAATCAGGAAGAAAAATATTCATAAGTTTACCGGGAAATTCGCGTTTTATTAATGGAAATTTGGCAACGCCTGAAGGTTTATACGGCGTTCTTCCTTAGCACGGTAGCATGGGCAACCTTAATCCTCCTGTATAGTAAAGTGAGCTTACGCGATTCTGTACTCATGACGATTGCGCTAAAAACTCCCGCTTCTTTTTTTCGTCCAGTATTTCGTATCATTTATTTTTGCGCAGGGAGGGCGGGGAAGCGTGGTCCGTTCGGAAAGGCACAGCCGCCTGATTTAAAGGGGTAATCCAATCCTCTTCTATGTATAATTGAAAAGCAAACAATGGTCGAATTTAAACCATCCACTTCTCCCGTGGATCCATAACGAAGGAAACTCAACGCGCGGAAATTCTGAAATTCGTTTATTTATGTTTTTCTCGCCAGCGTTCCCCGAGTCGCTTCTGGAGGTGGGAAGGGAGGTGGGCAAAAGTAACTTATCGACGGATAGCGTTTTGCCGACAATAATGCATTTAATTGGAGTAAGCGAGAAGCATCGGCGCCAAATCGGAAACGGCCCCCCTCAAATCGGCCTCATTAAAAATTTGAGCGGGCGATCCGAACGCGCAATTCGGCAAATAGGATAAGCTGACTAATTAGGTAGCTTTGCAAGAAACTTTTTAATGATCATCGCGTCGAAACTCTTGAGGCTTTGAAATCGCAGAAGTTAGCCGCAGCCCTGTAGCTTTGCTAAGGTGTTTTTGGCTGAAATTATCCTTTTTTTAGAGGGAGACCGGGGGAAGAAGTGGTAGGGAAGAGAGGTAAATCAGAAAGGCACACTTTGGGCTGCTATTCTTAGAGCAAGCCTCAATTTCAAAACGGAGGGAATATCCCTTTTAGAAAATGCAGTGACACTTTTGTAGGCCGAAGATAAAAATTTAATTTTTTTTCTTTTCCGTCTACCGTAAAATTTAAGCCGACGTCAATTCACCTCATTCCATAGGCACATTTTGTGTCGGAGATACATTTCCACGAGGAATTAGAGAGAGAAAATTGCATCATAAAATTTTAAATAATATACTTGTGCAATGTGCGAACCTCATGATTTAACAAAGTGGATACTAAAACCATTGATACGACTTCGGATGGATTCCAGTGTTTGGTATAATATGATGTCATGTTTGCAAGAAACGCACTTGTTCCAACGCAACGAGATGATCATTTCGTAATTCTTGGCAGGACGTTCTTCAGTTTTATCGTGTTCATGGCCCGCGATTTCAATTGCCTTGATTTCAAGTATTGTTTCACTCTTGTTGATTTCAAGATATTTTGTGGTATAACTTGCAAAATGAAGGTGAAATTCAAACATAAAGCACTCAGTTGTATTACAAGAGGATTTTTGTTATTGGTTAACGCAGCAATCCCAAGTTTTACGCATCAAAATTTCAGCAATATACGCAGGCAATAACTAGTGTCTATTTTTGAATATTTTTTAACGATTTACTTAAATGTTGGACACTTTGATTGAAAATCTTGAGACTTCAAAATTCAATATCACAGGAGAAAGGAAAAAAAAAAAAAACTGTTTTTTTTTCGAATTCTTGAGGAATTTTCTTTGCACCATTGAAGAGTGTTTCAGAGGATGTCTTACCTATGACCATCATGTGATGGGAAACTAGAGCTGAGGAAAACGCAGGTGCATCAGTCGTCACCTCACAACTTATGTTGCCAGAGAGTTTGAAACCAACTGATAGCAGGGTCACCTGGCTAGCGTTGGAATTCCTAAACTGAAACAGAAAAAAACGAAAAAAATGAGTATCACGCCGTGAAACATTCTTGGTCTCAATACTACATTGCAGTGTAAATAAACGCTTGGAATTTTAGTAACGGTTAAACAAGTCTTACAAACGCAACATCATTGGAAAATCGCAAATGTTTCATTCCTCCCTCCCTCCGTCCCTACCATCTGAACTATATTTGCGGTTTTTGGACATTTCAGTGAATTTTCTGCATAGTACGAAGCGCGAATTCCTTACACTTTTCAAATGAGTCCGCACAATCGTTCCTTTGTAAAATATTAAACTGCCCGGTTAAATTGGGCAACAGGTGACGTAGCTTGGTTCCTTTCTGCTGAACGCTGTACATTTAGTCTCCCTAGTAAAAGTAAGCCAGCCTGACGTCTAGGGCCGAATATTGTCGGTTTTTTTACACGGAGTGCAACAGCCATCGATGAGTTCAAACCGCACCACCGGTCAATCAGAAGCGCTAAGCCGAACTGAAGTGCAGTCAAGACCCGTCCTATAAGTATATTTAAGTACGGTGGAAGGACCAACAAGATTCGGCCCCGAGCTATGTTTCATAAACTACCTTGAGTCTGACATCAATCTGACATCAGCCTGAATCAGTTTGACTCAGGGTAGTTTATGAAACATAGCCTGACGGCGTCCCCGTACAATGCGACTCTATTGTACTCTATAGTTAAGATGATATTGACTGCACTCAATTTTGTCGGCTCTTTTAAATGGAGGTACAACATCCATCGATGAGTCCAAATCGCAGCACCGGCCAATCAGAAGCGCTAAAAGTGCATTCAAAACGCGTTCTAAGTTAAGTATATTTACGCACAATGGAAGGACCAACAAAATTCGGCCCCCGGAAAATTAGGTCGAAATTTATCGGCTGAATCCTGTTATCATCACACATGCTACCACTTCATTCGAAAAATCGAGATTAGGATCGAAAACATGAGCCCATCTCCCCGCGGAGGAGAAGAATGCGCCGAGAAATATTTGTCAATGCGAGGCGGAGCATACGCCCTTCAGAATTGTATGAGCCGGGCGATTTGAGATTTAGCCGCGGTGGCGGCGGCGGCGGAATGGACCCGCTGGAAAGTTTTTTTGAAAAGAACACTCGAGGCGGGCGGAAGCGCGGGAGAGGAAAAACACATTTTGAAATGTATCATTGACCAGCGTGCCATATATCATGGCAGCGGTTGAATGCCGAATGGGAGTTGCAGGTCGGCGCCCCCCTCCCCCTCCCAACCGCCCCCTCGACCGACGCCCTCCAACCGCGCACTTAGTGACAAACTTTTGAAAAGAGAGATTTTTTTTAATCGAGCACTACCGATGTTGAAAATTTATTCATTTCAACACAATGGAAACTTGCATTTGAGCAGTCGCGGAAAAAAAAAGTTGAACGGTGCGGTTTTTTTTTTCTCTCTCTCTCTCGTTTTTTTGTCGGAGCGTCGCGTGTCGCGTCGAGCGCCAGTGCTGCCGCACTAGAAAAAAACGTCGTGTGGACATTCAAATGACGCTAAATTTCCCCCGTTGAAAAACATGTTTACTAGAAAACTTGCAAATTTTTTTCCGTTGAAATTTTCAGAGAATATTACTTGCAATTTAATCTAGTGGATCTAAAAATTTCGATAAAAAAGACACATAAATTTTCGAGGATTTCAATATTTTATCATTTGAAATTTGGCAACATTCGAATGTGCATACGGAGTTTCTCCCGTAGCACGGACGACAACCCGAAATCAGGGAAATTCTGTATTTTCCCCCTGACATCACTGCAGGACTCGATTGTGCGGTCTCGGACACCGACCACGCGGGAGCAGTGCGCCTCTCATTAAATTTTTAACGCCTCCCCGTGAGGATTCGATATATCGAATGGCAACCCCTCACGTCCGCAATGTTGAGATATCGAAAAGCGATTAATCGATGAGCGAGGTGGGGGTGACTGTTGCGCCAGGCGCCGGAAATCGCGTCCGGGGAGTTGGGCTCGGTGAAACAAACATCGTTAATTCCGTTATAGTTTCGCTGCTATTTTTCCGACGGAGCCGCGAAACATTCGTTGCGACACGATGGTGGCGACGCGGGCTGGGCAGCGTGAATAAAAACGGAAGGGCTCTGCTGTGAAAGCAGAGACATTTTAACGGTTATTTTGGATTTCGGAGTGGATTTATTAATGGAGTTGTTAGACTGTGTGCACACGCTACATTTTCCTTGTGAATTAGCACATAACCATGACCCGCATTCTGTTTTACGGGCACATATGTTTGCGCTGGTGTTTCTAACGAATTGCATTATGGTTTTGCCCCGATCGAATCCCCTCATTTTTATGAGATGACACGGAAACGATATCAGCAATGTCTCCTTCTTCTCTCCGCGGATGGAAGTATGCACAAGTTCAAGGGGTACGTGTAAACAGACTTGAATGCATTTTACTCTGTTTACGTGCTTTATTGGTTTGGATGAGAACACTGAAATATCCTAGATTCATTGTTGTAAATTTTTACTATGCATTATTTACAACTGAGTGCTTACCCGAAGAAAAATAAGCGAACACTCAACCTTGATAGTCTTCGATTGGAGTTAGTTTGAGGTCCCCTCGAAGTTCCTGATCAATATTTCATGAGAGCGTTGATGAACAAGCTCTAATTTTATGCGAGTGATATTTGCTCTACATTTTATGAATACTACAAACAAATCAGGGGTCTAGAGTACTTAGGATACCTCTCGTAGATTAAATTTTTAATCATGATAGCGAGTGTAACATCCTCGCCACATGAATTAAAGTTGATTCATTACAAGCTAGATTACTTATACGGAATGGGTCACTGCTACGGTATTCTTTATTTATGTCACTATAAAATGGAAGAAAATCATAATTAATACCATCGGGTCAAATCGTCGTCAATTTAAATCAGAATTTGAGTTTTTATTTTATTTCTTAAGCAAGGAACAAAAATGTGCACTCACAATAGGTCCAAACAAAATCCCGCGATGAAAAAAATAAATAAATAAAAATGAGATAAAAAAAAGCAATTTGGAAAAGAATTCACCCCAAGGAGGAAGTGGTTGCTGAAAATCGGAGAAGGGACCAGCATCTTCTCACATATCTTACTTTATAATATAAAATCAGTGGCGTGGCGTGAATTGCGATTTATCGATTGTTATGCCATTTAAACCTATGGAAAAGGATCGATAAATAGGTTGTTCGCAGCGAACACCTTAATAATCGATTCTTTACAATAGGTTTGAATGGCATAACAATCGATAAATAGCAATTCACGCCACGCCACTGTATAAAAACATGTAACGCGTAACGCACAACGCCTGAGGTGCGAAGCGTTCCGTTGGATTGAAGCGCGAAGCGGTCAGGGGGCGCAACCCCCTAGTTTCCTAAATTTTTATTGGCTGAATAAGTTGAAACAGATGTGCCCTTTTCATCGTATCTGTGATTCAACCTTCTGCAAATATTTCGTCCAAATTATAGTAATGGAAAACACAGGAAGACCACGGCTAACAAACCGGGCTGATGACAAGCGTGCTTCATCGAAGCCGTTTGAGGGTGCCCCGCAGGTAACACGAAGGGAGGGGACGCGCACATTTAAGTGGTGCAGCACCCACCCTTGGAGATCTAATTAATACATAAACAGTAAACACATTATTTTGAATAATATACGCGGAAGGTAGGACAAACTACTAAAGCCAGCGCAGACCCGCTAAAATATTAATTACTTGGAGCCCCATTTCGTAGCGTCCCCTGCCCCGCGACTCCCCCCTCCCCTCCCGTCGCCCAGGTGCAAGCTGCACTCTGCTCATCCTCCGATGCCGCTTGCAAAACCGCGCGTAGACGTCTTTAAAATATGTAGTCTCGTGCGTTATCCACTCCGGCTAATTTCTTTGTGTTGAAATAAATCAGCGAAAGGTGGCCTGTTTCAATTAGGAGAGCACAGCCACAGTGTATTTTGTAACTATGTGTGTAGTAGTCGCTTTTAGGGCGCTTTGCGACATCTACCTGCCACTAGAGTCTATACAGGGAGAGACGTAATTGGGCCTCATTTTTAAAATCGCAATTCTGTTGTCAGAAGACTAAAGCACTCACTTACCAATTTTAACAAAGAAATTCAACGTAATAAAGGCGTGGTTTTTTCAGAGAGAAACATCGCATTCGATACTGGTATCGAAACTGCACTCGAATGCGATATTTTCTCTCTAAAAAAACCACGCCTTTATTACGTTGAATTTCTTTGTTAAAATTGGTAAGTGAGTGCTTTAGTCTCCTGACAACAGAATTGCAATCTCAAAATTCGAGAAAAATGATCAGTAGCTAAAAAAATAGAGCCAATCGATGCGATATATCGCATGCCGTTCTGACACAAAATATGGCGTCCATCGAATCACCTTAAGCGAAACTTTCGTGACAACATAGAGCGTATAGCATTGCGAGTTCATGCCTTGCGCCAGCGAGCGCGCCTTCAATTTTGCAGACGCAACACGGCCATCCATCAAGTACGAATAGTTGTATCTCTGCGCCGTCATCAACGGGCTTCCTTTTCCTTGCTCTGTTTTCATACAGTGTCGGTTCCGTTTGTCTTCTTAGAGGTAGTGCGTCGGGTAGAGTCTCTACCTAAAGCTCTACAGTAGAAAAGGGTGGACGAGGATATTGCACGGACATGTCCAAATATAGAGCTTTTTGAGCCCAAAATAGCAGCTAATCTTCTGACACAAAAAAATGTCAATTTTCAGATTTCTATATCACACCAAGATGTCCAAGAATGTTCATAAATCAGCGTTCTTCCGCAAAGATGAGTAAATTTATGCAAATACTAAGTCAAAAGCGTGTTTTACACACTACGAGTCGTAAGAATTGTAATTATAAATTACTCTGGATAATTGGAATTCATAGGTTGGCTGCCATTTTGGACCCTATAAGCTCTATGGCCTAACCTCAAAATTACCGACATGTCCGCACTTTCCCTATACAGGTACTCTAACCGCCA